GTCCTTGATACTGTCCCGGGTATAGTCCCGGGCATGTCTGTCCACCTCCTTATCCCGTCATCGTGCCACCCCCTGCCATATACTGAAAACCGTCGACGCCTCGTGGAGAGTATGTTGCGTTCTCTCAGAACGTCCCTTGTTGACTTGTCCCTCCTATGTGTCTGACTGCTCCCGAGTGTGTCGGATCTCCGGATCTTGGCGCCAATCAACCTTGGTATCCTTGCTGTTGTGACTGACTAGCTTGCGCAGGTCTCGCTGTTCCGGGGTTTGGTAACCCCTGGGCCCTCCCTCTTCCTCCTCTTCAACAGTCTTGTTCCAAATGAAAATACTGTTTACACTTGTTACACTTCAGCGTCCCTGTTGTCGCCAACCGAATCTCGAGCGTATCACCCTTGGACGTCTCTATCCACAGTACATCCTTCTTGTTGGCTCTTGCTTCAGGGACTAGGTCGAAGCGGGCGTTGACTAACGCCGGTCTCGATGGATCAACATCCGTGGGGTGAGCCATGATTTTCCCTATTGCCTTCTCTATCTGAGCATAGATGAATGGCATATCGTCCAAGGGGACCTGGAGCGCAAGAACCCAAAAGGTGTTTTCCTCCTCTTGTCTTCTTAGCTCTCTGAATTTTGCCCAAGTCATCCAAGGTTTGAATAAAACCTTGTATGTCTTTGTCCCTAATTGGATTTCCACCTGACCTTCTGCAATCATGTACTCCGCCAATTCCCTTGCTTTCGCCAAGTAGGAAACCACGCCTGGACCTTCGATCTTGAGTCTTCCACGTCTTGAATTCTCCACAAAATTCTCATTCTCCAGCACCCAGCCATCTTCAAATGCCCTAACGAGATCGTCCTTGATGTTCTTCGGGAGCGTTATTGCGGCTTCCTTATAGATCACCGTTACGGTCCTTTCCTTTAACCATTTCACCTTAATTTCATCCAGTGATGTATTTAACTTAAATCTCGCCTCTCGTCCTTCTATGACCATCTCTCCAGGATCGATCTATGTGGGGTAGAACCCATCGTCGAAGCACATTTGTAACAGCCCTCTGATTCTATCCTCATCCTCCCAATAATTCCTTTCTTCTTGAGGACCCGGGAGGGGGGATCTTCCTGTCCCCACCTCCCCTGATGTGGCTTCCATCCTTCCTCTTTATTTTCCAACTTACTTCTCCTATGTCCACTTCTTCCTCCCTTCGCTAGCTCTACTAATCCACTACCTCCACTGACCTCCACAGTTTCTTACTCAGTGACCCGGAGTCGAGGGTCAGGGGGGAACGCCACGTCTGTCTATCCGACTACAACTATGGCTAGTGCAGCGCCATAGCCACCCCTCAACGGGGGCGGTCAAAGAGCGGACCCAGGGTGCTATAGCGGTGGTATCACTCTTGGTGACAGCTCGGTCTTGCCGACCCGGTAACGCTTGGCTGAGCGCATAGCGCCGGCCAAACAAGGTCGCGTTCCCCCCCCTGAAGCCCCTCTCCTCCTTCCACGCTCTCGGACCAATCTATCTCAAGGCCGTCGCCCTTTTAAAAACAAAACAAAAAAAAAAGCAGTACAGGTCCTCGCCGCACACCAAGCGTGCAAATTGTCACGTTCTTCCTCACACAGGTGGCCAAACAAACACCTGGTATTATTCATAGCGGGCGATGCCGATGCATCTAGCCGTCTTCGGTAAGAAAATGCACTCGGCATTCTCTAGGTTCCATGAGTAGTGCGGCGAGGTCCACATGCAAAGAAGAGGAGGAAGATTGGTCTCCATCCACCCATCGGGCGGATCCACAGTGAGGTGCCACACTGCCCTGATTCTCCGATTTCGGCCGTCGATCTGTGCAATCTAAGGTCGAAAAGAGAGTAAGTACCGTTCCAATTCTAACGGGTGTCTCGATGGACAGACAGATTTTCAAAATCAAAATTTCAAAATGCTGAACCATAGGTCTAGAGGCCTTGTCGGGATTGTCCGTCATTGGTCCATCGGCCTTGTCGGGATTGTCCGGCTTGTCCCTTTCTGGCCGAGACTGCTGTAGGGCCTCGCCGCGCCACCGTACCCACCAAATATTCATACCGTACTCACCAAATGTTCAAAATGGAGGATGAACCTTCCCGCCAAAATGGGAAAGATACTTTTCACATTTGGTGAGTGGCGCGGAAGAGGCGCGCAATATGACTGTTGTACAAGAGGAACCACAAGCCAACTCCCACTTGGCCCGTTCTTCCTTCCTGGCCGTTGATTTTTGTAAGCTACAGTCCTAAAGCGAGGCCTCGGCTGATTGGGACTTGGCCACGAGATCCCGGTGCAGAGGCCTTCAGCCCGGGGCAAGGTCCCACTGCCACGAAGGGTTAGATTGAATGCATGAATCGGGACGTTGATGAGGATAGATGCAGAACACGGTGATTGATCTGCTCTTCTGCATCTCGGCTACGGACGTGTCCAGATTCCGGTTGTTAATTCGATCCACTTTGCTAGTGGGACCTAGCCCCCGGCGATTTGGCCAGGAATCCTCCTCTGCTTCTGGGGCAAGGTCCCACTTGCGCAAATTAGGAGATTTCGGCCGTTGATCTTTGCAATCTACGGTCAGTATCTCTTAATTCGTGCAAGTGGGACCTAGCCCTTGGGGCATGGTCCCACTAGCAAAGAGGATCGGATAGAATGCCTGAATCTGGACGGGTTTATGGAGATGTGCAGGAAATCGAGATTGAACTGGTTTTCTCCATCTCTGCGTAAAACACATCCAGATTCTGGAGCTCTATCCTATCCTTTTTGCTAGTGGGACCTCGGCCCTGGGCATCGGCGCGCCACTCTCGAAATGTGCAAAATGAGAAAGAACTTCCCCCTAGAAGCGCCCGCCCAAAGAAAAAACGAAAACAAAAAAGAAAAACAAAAAGAAACACCCGCCACATTTTTGCCTTTTTCATATTTCGAAACTGTTGTGGCGATGCTACCTTTGACACCTTTTTTTTTTTTTTTGTTTCTTTTCTTTTTTCCTTTCACATCTTCCCGCCTAGCGGTTGCACCGCTGACATCTGGCGGCTCAATGGCGGGCTCCAAGAAAAAGGGCTCAATGTAACAAAAGAAGACCAGGTGCATTTTCGTTTGATAGCATATGCTCACCATAGGACTTCTTTACTTATCTGTGGGCATCATTACGGTCGATGCATCCGCGTCTGGTCGTAATTGAGGTCAGATGCATTTCGGAGAGCAGTGAGTTCGAGTCCGAAAGTCGGCCAAGCGCTCAAAAGAAAAAGGAAAAAACCTCGGCCAGTCACAAAGCTGCATCCTGTGGGGAAAAAAAAAACACCAACGAAGGTGAGCTGCGAGAGGGGGTGCTGTACCCCAGTAGCGGGCGTCTAGGGCCTCCCAGCACGTCTCACCAAATGTGCAAAATGAGAAGGAATCTTCCCTAAAAACATGGAGACATACACAAGGGCTCCATTCTATTTGTGGGGAGCAGCACATGCTGGGAACTGGGCCCAGCGTCCCTTATACACCAAACCAAATTGAGGTTTGGGGCCGGGGTCCCCACAGTCTACCCGGAAAAACGAAACACTACTGTAGGGGTCTAATTCTCACTAAGCCTAGGGCCGTGAGATTTTCCAGATCGGATGGCTGGAACCCCTCTGTACCCGAAACATGGACTAACCCCCCAGTGGGGCACGGGATTACTGTGGGACATGGTCCCTCTTTTCTGGATTTTGTCAGAGATTTTTTTTTTTTTTTTTTTTTTTTTTTTTTTTTTTTGAAGGGCGACGGCCTTGAGATATTATCATTGAGCTGACCGGCCCCAAGCAATTCATTAGTTGGTTTTATACCCGTCAAGTTCCATCATCTGGATTCGAACACAGGTCTGTATCTCAACAGTTCATGGGTGTACCCACTGAGCTAGGCTCTTGGGTGTCTGTCAGAGATTTGGAAGGTCAACGGTCAGATTGGAAGAATCTGGGCAAGTGGGACCTGGGGCCTCTTTGGCTAACCCACCAAGACCCCTACAGTAGTTTTGTATGTCTTCTCTCCCTTCGGCTGACCGACCAAGATCCCTATGTCCTCTTTGGCCATACACCTCCCGAGGCCCCAATTATGTGAAACGGCAAGTGTATTGCTCCACTGCTCTCCACATGCACGAAAGACGTAAACTAGACCCCCCCTACAGTAGTGGGAGATGGCCCCCAGCCCGTTATGCGTGCCCCTCCACCCGCCCCCTTCTGTTGGTCTATGAAGGTGGGGTCAAAACCCCGTTGGGACAACGGGGGTAGAGCCGGTTCCATTCCCTTTTTTTAATTTTCTTGTTCTTGTTTTGAATAATATGGGCCTAGAAAAAAGAAAAAAAAGGGGGAAAAGGGGGTCTATTCTACTCCCTCTGTGCACACGCTTTGCCTTCCCTTCGTCCCTTATCTCACCATCCCCGAACCCCCCTTCCCCTCCCCCGCGTTTTCCGGACCTGCGCAGCCCCAACGGCTCCCCCTTCCCCTCTCAACCCCGCCTTCCCCGGGGCAAGGTCCCACTTGCACGGATTACGAGAATCTGGCCGTTGATCTTTGGTATCTACGGTCAATGTTGTTGAATTCGTGTAAGTGGGACCTACAGCCCCCGGGCTGCGCACCCCCAATGGCACGGGAAGAGCCAAGGCCGTGCTATGTTATCACGATCCTGGCTCGGTTTACGACCACATTCATGCTCAGGTAGGCCCTGAAGCCCACTGTCGCTCTCGACTGCATTGTCAGGGTGTCCAAATCCCTGCCGTTAAAAAAAAAACAAAATTGTTTTTGTCAGGGTGTTCCGCCAAGATTGTGAATCCACCGGGACAGCCTGCCTGCTCAGATGCATTCAGAGTCTTGGCGGATGGGGAGTAGTGCAACTAGGCGGGAAAACGAACGTTTGGCAATCCCAGTACCGCAGCGCGCGTCGCTCAGCGCGCTGCGCGCCGACATAGCTGTCGAAAATCAACGGCGCCGGCGCCAGTCAGTGCGTGCCCCATTCGTGCCGTGGGACCGTTGGTTGCCTTTAGAGCGTCTTTCATCTTCCGTGAACTTCGGATCCTCTTATACGTTGTTTTTCTGACGGAGTTTTCAAGGGAGGATAAGCATCCCATGGAACACCTTGGTTCTTCCCGTAGGCGAGGAGTGCCTTTTCAACTCTCTCTATTGCCATATCTATGTGGGAGAAGCTCCCTCTGGCTGGAGTGGAAGGTAGCTTCTTGCCATAGCCGTGTGCGTTGCCCAGCTTCCAAGGAGATGAAGTATCAGAACGCAAGGAGACATCTTGCCTCCGTTTGAATGATGACCTTTCGCCATATCCGTTTTTCAATCGAAGCGCGCATCGCCGTCCTCCACCGTCTCCTGCACCGCCTCCCGCCACATCCATAACTCTCAATCAACGTGCACCTTAACATCTTCCTCCTCCGTTTTCAGTACTACTCTCCGCCATAACTCAAGCAACGTCCATCTCTCCGTTTTTCTGAATCATTTGCGAATCCCTCCTTCCCCTATGTTTGACACATCATCGATCTTTGCACGGAAAAATCCCTACTTGCTTGTGACACGTGTCCTCGCTGGCTCATCAGTTTTACCCCTTGCCTGCCGGGGACACGTGCCCTCTATCTACCTCTCGTTGTGGTCTCATCATAGTCTAGAGCTTTCCCCGTGTTTTGGCGGGAGTTTCATCTCCCAAACAGAGCCTACCCGTGTTTTGGCGGGAGTTCGAAATCCGAAAACGCTTCTACTCGTGTGTTGGCGGGAGCCTCACTGGAATTGAGAGCGAGCGAATCCGGTTCCGCTCATGTAAGGCCGACGCAGAACGACGGGCACAGCAGCGACGGTGCGGTGAGTGTTTGCTCGAATCTTCTCTCTCTCTCTCTCTCTCTCTCTCTCTGTGTCTGTGGTCGTCTGACCACAAAGTCCGCGTGTGTTTACATGCTTCACGCGTCCTCTCTCTCTCTGTCTCTCTCTCTCTCTCTCTCTCTCTCCCGTGTTTTCACCCTCCTTACCTGATCTACTTTCCAGGAGCTTTCTTTAAGCGGCTTTAGACCGTACTTCGTCGCCGAACCTGGCCGCGATTGTGGCAAGATCCATTCGAACCTTCTCTCGTGCATGTTTCGCCGCTCCTTACCTGATGTACCTTTTTTCAGGCATCGCCTATGTTACTTTAACCGTATAAAGCCTTGCACTTTTTTCGCGGAACATGTCCGTAATTGTGGTCAGATACGTTGGAACGTGTCTCATTTCGCCCGTCCTTGCCTGATGTATTTCCTAGCCGCCGGCTATATTACTTGGACTATGTTCGCGATTGCTTTTCGTCGGCAGAATCTGGCCGCAAATATGGTAAATACTCTAGCAAATGTCCGAGTGCGAGTATGCTCTTATTCCCTCTCTTATTCCCTCTGCTTCGTTCTCCCATCTCTGTCTATCTTCTCATTTGTTCCTCTTCGTTCAGCACTCTTCATATGTTATATCCCTCTAATTGGTCTTTTCCACTGAAACTGCCGACTACTTCTTGGCAATCACAAACAGCTCCCTTTTTTATTACTGTTCTTTTTTGTTTCCAACTCGATTATTAGGGTGATAAATTCCTCGGAGACGAATCACGGGAAGGACACTCTCCTTTTTCTACATAGGAGTTGTTTATTGCTGATTGGAATATTCTTCGGAGAGTACGAGGGATCTTTCTTTCCTCGACCAATCAAAACATTGGACTCTATGTAGTGGAATATTCCTCTTGTACGAATCGCGCCTATCCACCACAAATCTTTCTATCCACGACCAATCAAAACATTGGACTCTATGTAGTGGAGTCCCCGTAGAGTAGTGGAGTCTGCTCCACTACTTGATTGCTCAGCATCGACTCAGCAATAATCTAGTAGGAAAAATCGGCATTCCTGTATTCCCCGGAGAGAAGGGGATCGAGGAATCCTGGAAACGCCGATTTTGTTTGGTAAGGGCCTCGCTGCACCACTCACCAAATGTGATTGAGACCAATTATGGCGTGTGCATCTTTCCACGTTCTTGTGGAAGATACATTCTATATGTTGCATATTTGAAGAGTAGTGCGCCGAGTCCCGGTTCCCCGTTCTTGTGTTGAGGCGTTTGGCGCACACTCAGTGCAGCGCGCAGCATTACTGTTTCTAAAGTTTTTATTTTTTTCCTTTCCCCTTTGTAAATTCAGATTGTTGAGGATGATCTGTTCAGGATGAAAAGGAGGACAGCGAGTGTTCTTGCGAAGTGTATGGAGCCGGACTATGTGTCCATCCTTCCCTTCATGCTTCCTACCAGGATGTTATTCTGTGTCTATATTTTTTTTCCTTTCCCCTTCGATTAATGGCCCTTCCCTCTCAATCGCTTGAAGGAGGCAGTGAGCAAACCAAGATGTTATTGTCTCTAGATTGTTTCATCCGAGCTCGGTAGCCTCCAGATAAGATCGACAGGAAACGGAAATTGGAAAGACCACGCGAGGGCACCCGTGCGCGCGCGCGCACAAGCGAGCGAGCGAGMGAGAGAGAGAGAGAGAGAGAGAGAGAGAGAGAGAGAGAGAGAGAGAGAGAGAGAGAGAGAGAGAGATGCCTCAGGAGCTGTTGTCGAACAGCGACGACGTCCTTGGCTGTAGAGAGAAACTCCATCGGCCAGGTGCCTTCACCTCTTTGTCTATCGAGGGCTGTGTGTGTGTGTGTGTGTGTGTGTGTGTGTGTGTGTGTGTGTGTGTGAGAGAGAGAGAGAGAGAGAGAGAGAGAGAGAGCAGTTGATATGCCTCAGGAGCTGTTGTCGCACATCGTCGACGTCCTTGGCTCTACAGGTTAACTCCATCGGCCAGGTGCCTTCCCCTCTCCGTCTATCGAGGCCTCTGTGTGTGTGTGTGTGTGTGTGTGTGTGAGAGAGAGAGATAGAGAGAGAGAGAGAGAGAGAGAGAGAGAGAGAGAGAGAGAGAGAGAGAGAGAGAGAGAGAGNGAGAGAGAGAGAGAGAGAGAGAGAGAGAGAGAGAGAGAGAGAGAGAGAGAGAGAGAGCTGGATAGACAAGCCTGCGAGAGATCGAAAACAAAGCATGATTGCGGAACTGAATAACGGGAAAGGAGCAGAATAAGGGCTTAGTAGGGAACGCAAGTCTTTTGGGGGATTTTTTTTTTTTGAACCAGGTGGGCACTCTTGTTTTTGCATCTGTTCTTGTCGCACGTCTTGGTGTGAGTGAAGATTGGCTAGAGACCCAAGAATTCTCATCTAGATCAATCCATCTATCAGAAGATCTATACCCGTCACTGAGAACACACGTCATCTAGTATGGGTTGGTGGGAACGTATGTCTTTTTTTGGGGGGATTAACTGAACTAGATGGGCACTTGTTTCTGCATCTGTTCTCATTGTACGTCTCGGTGCAAGTGAGAGTTGGCTAGAAACGCAATACTACACATCGAGCTTAGTCCATCCATCGGAAGATCTATACCCATCACCGAGAACACATCATCTTGTGGGTTTGGCATGGAACTTAATACTCTTTTCTATACGTTTACTATTATTTAAATAGCCAAGATAAGTCCAAAATAAGGGCATACTCACTCGGGGCGCTTTCTCCCGAAATTCCATCCAGATTCAGTCGAAAAAGCTGTTGCTTATGTCACAAAACGCCTAATGTTGATTAAAAAAAAAAACAAAAAAAACGCCTACTGCACCGGGGCGCTTCCTCCGGTAAATAGGTTGTTCCTATCACACAGTCTAGTAGAAGGGAGAGCGGAATGTTAAAACGACGAGAAAAGAGTGAAAACAGACAAAGAAAGAACGATCCGTACAACACAGGTCTGCAGACCTGATTTTCAGTCGATCGTCCTTAGCTCTCGCAGAAGAGAATGGATCTTCCGCTAGAACATGGACAGATACATCTCCATAATTGTTGTCTTTATGTTTGTGCTGAGTGGTGGAGCGAGGTCCTTGGCTATGTTCGGATATGGGGACGTACTCAGCTTGGTTGGCGTATGCATCCCGACAGACCGTAAATGTTCCTTTTTTTTCTTGATGGTATCAGATGAATCCAGTTAGCGATTAGGGCCAAGTTCAGAGTGATCTCATGACCGACGGTAAATGTTCCTCTTTTTTCTTGATGGTATCAGATGAATCCAGTTGGCGATTAGGGTCAAGTTCAGAGTGATCTCGTGACCAACGGTAAATGTTCCTCTTTTTTCTTGATTGTATCAGATGAATCCAGTTGGCGATTAGGGTCAAGTGCAGAGTGATATCGTGACCGACGGTAAATGTTCCTCCTTTCTTTCTTCATGGTATCTGACTCCATGAATCCGGTTGGCGATTAGGGCCAAGTTCAGAGTGATATCGTGACTGACCGTAAATATTCCTTTTTTTTGTTTTTTTAACTTCATGGTATCAGATGAATCCTGTTGGCGATTAGGGCCAAGGTCAGGATGCTATCGTGATCGACGGTAAATGTTCCTCTTTTTATTTTTTTTCCTTTCATGGTATCAGATGAATCCTGTTGGCGATTAGGCCCAAGTTCACGGTGATCAGGCTGTTCACTAGGCTTGGCAAGTACTGGGATACTGTCTTTCCCGGATCGCAATACACCCTCATAATGACTGCATCAGACCAGAAAGATAGCTTGTATACACTCATTTTAAAGATAGCTTTTTGTACACATTTTAAAGATAGCTTGTATACACTCATTTTAAAGATAGCTTGTATACACTCATTTTCAGGGTGCGTTGTCTCCGGGGGAAAAACCTTAGGTTCGGATATGTATTGTGACCGACGGTAAATGTTGCTTTCCTCGGTTTTAGAAAGAGCAAAATTCATCTGTTCGTTTAAGATGAGGAGATACAGATTTTCATATATGTATCTGACCGCTATTACGGCCACGCGTGGACGCACCTGACTTCATTCAATTAGGTCTGTAGATCAATTGAAAAACTCCTAGTTACTACTGAATTTTTTTCTGTTTATGTGATTTATTGCCGTAATTGTCCCTATAAGTCTTTGCCCCAAACGAAGGAAATGCTAGCTAACATAGCGGTCTTACATCATCAGGAATTGGACTCATGTTCTGCCTGTAAACAGATGCATGCGTGGATCCTACTCTGTTGTTGACCAACGCATGTTGTTTGGCCAAAGAAAGCCAGCAACTTCGTGATTTATCGCCGTAATTGCCTTCTTTAAGTCTTTGCCCAAACGAAGGAAATGCTAGCGAACATAGCGGTCTTACATCATCAGGAATTTGACTCATGTTCTGCCTGTAAACAGTTGCATGCGTGGATCCTACTCTGTTGTTGACCAACGCATGTTGTTTGGCCAAAGAAAGACAGCAACGTCGAAAACCCTAAAACAGAATGCCGAATGTTGATTAGCAAAGGAGGGTGACTGCAGAATCCCACGGCTTCTGAATGTTTATTAGCGAAGGGAGAGAACGGCAAATTTCAGAATCCCGCGGCTTTGGCAGAAACGCTCCACATCTAGATTCTCTGCTCGATTCTCAAAGCTCACTTAACATCTTGCCTGAGTTAAGACCGTTTAATCCTTCTCGATGATGTCTTTTGTTGCTTTCTACGCCTCTGTTCCTTTTGTGTCTCTGTTTGTCTCTCTCTCCTGCTGTCTCTCTCAGTTACGCTCTTTTCTCTCTCTTTGCTTATCCTCCCTGTCTTGCTCTTCCTCTATTTGCCTTACCTAGTGTGACTGTGTGTGTGTGTGTGTGTGTGTGTGTGTGTGTGTGTGTGAGAGAGAGAGAGAGAGAGAGAGAGAGAGAGAGAGAGAGAGAGAGAGAGAGAGA